TGGGGGCGGGGTGGTCAGCTGTGGCGCGGGGCCCTCTTGGCGCGGGGCCCAATTCAGCCAAATCGGCTGAATCGGTCTAAAGCCGGCCCTGAGTCTGTTGCAGCTTGCTCCTCTCCCTCCCCAGGTCCCCTCGCCTGCCGCTTGCTCCTTTCTGCCCCCTCCTGCCTTAAGGGCGGGTGATGGGGGAGGGGCGGAGAGGAGCAAGTGGCCGGGCCCCGCCACACAGCTGATGGGTGGCAAGCGGTGGGTGCTGCAGGCTTCGGGAGAAGAGCGGGAGCGAGGGCTGTGAGCAGAGCGCAGGCAGCACTCCAAAGGCAGCAGGTCTGCAGCCTGCCTCCAAAGGGAGGGGAAGCTGCTGAAGCCTCTGGCCATGTTGGCATCTCAGGGAGAGTGAGAGGGACTTTCCCCAACATCACTGTGGCTGAGTCACACTGGGGGGCAGGCTCACCCCAGGGTCACCCAGCACCTCTGGGCTGAGCTGCAGGGGAGCTGGACAGGCCAGTGCAGAGCAGCCAGCCCCTCCCCCAGCCAGGATCAGCACCGGCTCAGCATCGTTCCCACGGCTCCTTTCAGGGAGCAGGTGGGGACACAGCTGGCATCAGCCAACCCGCTGCTCTGTGAGCCTAGAGGGCTCCCTAAAGGCTGCGATCCCAGGGGCACTGGGCATGGGGCACTTGACCAGTGTGGGTGAGGCCAACGCCAGCCCTGACAATGCCCTGGGCACCCAACACCCACGTGAGCCCCAGGATGGCACCCAAAGGACTATTAGCACCAGCCCTAGGTCCTGAACTTTGCAGCCCTGGGAGCAGGTTGTCAAAGAAGGAGCATCACCCACATCCTGCTGCGATGGCTCCCCTGGGTGTCTGAGTGCCCAACACTGGGCACCCAAATCCCCGCAATGAATACCCTGTGCAGCCCCCTGTAAATCTCTCCTGTTCCCTCGATTTCTCCCCACTACACTGTGTCCATCCCATGGACCCGCAATAACATACTGCGGCTTTACAAAGCACCCTGGACAGCCCCGCTATGGAACTGGCCATATTAACAAACCCTTTATGGTACATTTCCCAAAGAAGTAAATATCCTTACAAACCTGATACTGATCTAATATCCCCTGATTCATGGTCAGAGGCCCAGTTTGTGTAACTCAACATCTGGCTCACGTTCTCTCTGTGCCTTTCCTATTCTTCTATCTCCAGAGGAAAGTGAAGAATAAGAGGGAGATGATTGCAGGTGAATTTGACAAGCTGCACACACTGCTGAGAGCGGAGGAGCAGCTGCTTCTGCAGAGATTGGAGGGGGAGGAGAGGGAGACTCTGCAGAGACTAAGGGAAAATGTCACCAAACTCTCCCAGCAAAGCTCCTCTCTGCAGCAGCTGATCGCAGAGATAGAGGAGAAGTGTCAGCAACCGGTTCTCGAGCTGCTAAAGGTGAGATGGCATCAAAATTCTCCCCCCATCCAGAATTATAGCTCAATCCCTGGGTCTGGATCCCAACAATGAGAGTAAATGTGTTCTATGGTTAACTGACAAACAGAACATCCGGCTAAGGGCTCCATCAGTTCCAAAATATCGCAGTTCACGTCCGAGGGGAATTCTCCTCCTGGAGATCCAGTGAGGCCGTGGGAGATTAAATGGATGATACAAAAATGATACGGAACTAAGCCCATCCCTGCTCTGACTCCAGAACATTGGACCCATCACATTTGATAGACACAGATACTGACGGGTTAGGTCCCTGGAAGGGAGAACCCTTTAGCTAAATTTCTGTCTCACCTACATAAATGAAACAAGTGTTAATGCAAAATGGTGTCTGAGATTTTACCACAAAACAGTGGAGCCTGGGAGGGTTGATCCATTTTCTAGATGAAAGGTTGATGTGCAGAGTGAGACTCCCTCAGTCTTATGCACATTGTGATAATACAGAACATTGATTCTCTTTTTCCTTTCAGGATGTGAGAAGCACATTGAGCAGGTGTGTTTCCCACTTTCATTGCTCTTATATTTGTGGTGGTGGTTCTGGGATGATGTGTGTACAGAGCAGCTGAGTGATGATGGGACGTTTTCTTCGTAGGAGTGAGAATGTGAAACTCCAGGAACCAGAAGCTGTCTCTACTGACCTGAAGAACGTGTATAAAATTTCCCTTGACATGAATGAAGTGTTGAAGAGATTCGGAGGTGAGTGGAGTCTACTGGGACATTCAGCTGTATTGTGCCTGGGACCCCAGGACACGCATGGACCCAGCTGACATGCTTGGAGCTGTGTGATAGCTGGAGGCTGATGTGCTGAGTGCTGGGCAGTTTGCCTGCTACTTACAGCCACTTGCTGGTACTTGCCCAGGTATCTGACCTTGCCCCATCACTCTGACATCCTGATCCCTCCATGGCTGAGTTAATGGGTGTCCCTGAGCCAGGTGCTGTGAGGCCTGGACTGGGCCCATTGGTCTGGGTGCTGCACGGACTGGTAACGGATGACCTGTCTGTGCCTCTCTTGGGACATGTGAGGGCTGCGTTGTGTGTCCTCTGCTCAGCACTGCCCCAGCCCCCATTAGCCAAGGCTGGCCGAGCTTTCTGAGCTGGAGGAGGGGATGGTCTGGCTGCTGTGGTCTGACCTGGGCTGTGAGTTACTGGGTAACAAGCTGAATCCTACGGGCCCCTCGTCTGCTCTGAGTGCAGCCCAGTGTGAGGTTGGGTCAGTGGTTTGCTGCTCAGTGAGTGAGACTTACTCATGAGAGTGTGACCCTGTCACAGTGTTTGAGCATTGTTACCAGCTTTGCCCGTTACTTTGGGGTACACTCATTTATTAGGGTTACTCTTCTGGGGGCAGGGGGTTCTGTACTTCTATCAATGTGCTGCTTGTGTCACTTGTGTTCTCATACAGAGCTCTACTTCTCCCTTCTACAAGTCCCCTCCCAATGGAGCTATCCTGCAGGACCTAGGTTCCCCCTGGCTCAGTTCTTCCAGCCCCAGAATCAGATGAACACACAGACATACACATTACCAGAGCATGTCTGAGAGGACCGGGTTAATCAGCGCTCCCAAGCTGACCCCTTATATGTCCCTGGACTCAGCAGGCTGGGTCGAGCAGCATTTCCAAGCTGTCACCCTCATATGCCATGGGCACCGCATGGAATAGAGTAACCCTGAGCAGGCTGGGTTGAGCAGCACTTTCAATCTGCCACACTCATGTCCCAGGTTCTGCACGTCCCTATCCCCACTTTCACGTTACAGTCGTTCTGGTAGTAACCCACTTGATGAGCAAACCCCACAGGATCTTTGGGCAGTGCAGGGATCTTTTAGCTTGGGTACGAGGAACGTGCTACAGAGCAAATGAGGAAACCAAAAAACATCCATGGGGTGGAGTAGGAGGGGGAGGGGGAAGGGGGGGGGGAGAGAGAAGCAACCACCTTAATCATGAAAGTTATTTATTTCCAGGAAATAACCATAGGGGAGCCAAACAAAACAGTCATAATATTAAATCTAACTTAAACTTGATTTTAAAAGTCAGGTTTAACAAAACTATAACTGATCAACACAAA